TGTTATAAATGAGTGAAAATAGTTAGATTAAGCGCACTCAGACCAGCAGGAAATCTGATCTAGGATCTGCAGTGATGAGCAAATAGGGGTATTTGCTTGAGTTTGTTTGACAGGACTGGTCTAATGTTGCTGCCCAAGGGTAGGAAAGCATAAATACCTCAACAGTGGTAGAGATGTTGTTTGACCGTGCATGATTTTTTTCAAAACAAGCCTCAAGAGTAAAGAGAACAATTTGAACAAGCCTGTGTATTTTGGTATAATGTACACATTTTAGCAGGCAGATTAATCATGTAACTAATTTTGAGGCTTGAGTGTCAACTAGCAAATACCAGTACACAGTACCTTCTGCATAGTTACAGTTAAGACTGTTTGCTTGACATTTTCTTCACGTAATGTCGAGAACATTCCCCAATAATGGGGATAGTCTGTGAATATTTCACAACACAAACGCACACCCAAATTTACTAGAGTCAGTATTTGGAGAATGCTGTTTGACCAGCTCTAACAAAAGTAATCAATGATATTATTTGAACAGAAGCATGTTTTTAAGAAAAGATATCCTGTGTCAATAAGGGCGGCATTTAGATTTTGTATGTGCACAGAATTAGGTATATTGTGTAGTTTTCCATTTATGCAGCTCTGGCTGGAATGTTTTTTCATGTTGATTGCATCAAAGTACAGGCCAGCAACCATGTATTCTGGCTCATCTGCCTATAAGCTCATTGAACTATTTCCAAAATAAAGAATAAAGATAAACAGCATTTCAGTGATAGCCACATAATTGTATTATCTACTGCAAATACTCAAAAGCAAGAGTTTTGCTGGATGTCTTTTTAGGAGATCCATGTGGCTGTATTAGATTTTGGCCAGTTTATTAGAACTTCATCGCATATGAGTTTTAAACCTCAGCTGTCGTTGGATTTGTCTGGTGTGTGTGTGAAAGAGAAATGCTTATGTCTTCAGTAGCATTTAATTTTTTACTTATACATTGTAAAATTTTATGAACCAGAGCTGTAATACAACACTGCAGTGCACAGCCCATTGGTATTGCTGTAATCATTCAATTGAGAGACCTGTGTGGGCATGATTCAATAGGTAATGGACTGTATCAGTTCAGCCTGACTGTTGGGATTTTATTGCTCTACCCACCTTTGTGACAGCTGCTTATTAGTGTGCAGTGCTTTAGAGAAGTCAGAATAGGAAATGAGCTCTCTGGTATTTCCACATTATACTGTGTGGATTGGTATTTTGGTAGATAGGGGAGGTCTTCACCCACCCTCCTTCCCCCTCCCTGCACTGTGAATTTCCAATTCTCGGGTTTGGGCAGGTTCTGTCTGCCAGACCAAATATGTTAGAAAGCCCATCATCTTACTTTGATTAACGCTAATAGGATTTGTGACCGTAAAGCACCATGCAGGGAGTTGAGAGTTTATGCCAAAGGGTTTTTTTTTCTTTCTTCTATTGCTTTATGTATTATCTTTCATCAGCAGGCAACAGATTTCTTTCCGCATAGTTGAAGGAATCAACATCAGCAGGGGGTAAGAAGGTGTCTTCATCAAATTAAATTCATTTACTTTCACATGCGCGTGTAACCATTTCTCTGCACTGACCGTGAAATACGGTAATGGGTGCAGAGCCTGTCAGCTCTAGGCCATCCATTTAAATTGGGCCCAAGCTGGCAAGGATCATCAGTCTTTATTCTCTGTTGGTCGTACAGGACACGGTGTGGAATCGACTTGGCAAGTGCAGCCCACTGTCTCTGGGAGTGTGGTCCGTGTCATTGAAATAAATATGTCGGGTCAGCTTGCTTCCCACACGTGTTGTCTTAATGGAGATGAAAGATTTAAAGCCTGATCCTAAGCCCACTGAAATTACATGGAGGATCTTTTCTTTCAGTGGACGTTAAAGCAGGTGCAAGAAATGCAAGCAGTCTGAGTAATCCTGAGAGCTGTATCTAGAGGATGGCTAACCAGTGATATTAGTGTTGATGTCATCATTCATGTTTTTCTGTCAAAAAACACTGAGACAACTTGAGTAGAAGATGATGCCATCCTCAAAGCTCTGCTTTACTGAGAATAAATACACAGCTTTTGTGCGGTGCTGTTTTTGTCTTCGTTAACAAGACATGCCTTTAAAGTATTTCTTACAAATATTTAAAAGACTTCATTTGCTCTAGGCAAGTGCTCAATTAAAAATCATTTATTATTTATTGCTAGAAAATAAGGAATTTCCAACAAGGAAGTTCCAACAAATTATTAAGCATTTGAAAAGTTCCTATCTACATTGAACTAACCTTACATTGTCTTTATGTGCAGGAAGGGTAAGTGGAAGCTAACAAATATTCCGCAGCCTTATTTTCATTTCAAAGACTGGTCTTCCATGTCATGTGTGATGTGCTGCCATTATTACAAGAGGCAGATTAGGCAGTCATCTTAATGAAATGGGAATAAGATGAATGCAGAATTATCAGATGCTGTGGGGGCATACTCCACTAAGCAAAGTATTTGCAGTACCCATTAGGCAGGATGTAAGTCAATAGAGTACCTGAACAGAAGGTGCTATATATTGTTGTTCTTAGAAAATTTGGTGTAATTGCCTTTATTATTAAAATGGATGACTTCTTTTATATCTGAGTGCTCTCTTCTCCTCTGCCTTTCTTGTTCCCAGTAGTAAATGCGACCTGATTTATAGTTGCATATAAAAACTGCAAATCACGTAGCTGTCCAGGATACAGTTACTGTGAAGAGGTGTAAATGGTAGTAAAAAGGAGGAAATCGGCCCTGTGAGCTGTATCCATGTAGATATGGACATGTACTTTTTTTCCAGATATACCAATTAATTTGGCATACTGTAGTTGAGGTAGGGGGTCTAGTAAGATTTCCAGTACCCCATGTTTTACTACAATTTAGGAAGTAAGCATATTAAATCACTCTTCCACACCAACTTGACTCACAACTGATAATGGCTGTTGTGGTGATGTGGAGCAGCCTTAAATCCAGCATCTGCAGCCCTCAGCAGGGGCTGTGATACACGGCTTCTGGCCTGAAGCTTTCTTGGAGTCCTCAAGCTGGAGGTAAAGGTCCAAAATCTTGTGGTTCCTTGTGAGGAGAGCAACTCTTTCTAAGCAAAATACAACACCTCCTCGCATGTGCACAACACCCTTGGTTACCACCTGGTTAACAGACAAGGGAAGTAAGACAGCTGTGTATTTAAAATGGCTGCAGGAGCGGTGTGTGTTTCGTGGATGTCTGGCTGAAGCCCCAGTTCAGTGCAGCTACCAGTCAAATGGGGATGTCTGTATCAAATCAGCCCCCAAATAACAGCAGTCAGGCAGACAAGTGACTGCTTCATGGCTGTTTTCATTCAGAGATACTATTCTGCGAAGGAAAGACAAGGATTTTTTTTTTTTCTCCAGTTCTGTATTTCAAGTAGAAAATGAATGTTAAAAGATGTGGTCAACTCTACTTTTCTGTTGGTTTTCCTAAGATTTCTTTTAACTTTAGTAAAATTTCTAAAAATGAGTTCAGTGTGAGTGTTGTTACTGAATCATTGCATTCGGATGTGTTAGGCATTTCAGCCTTAGCCTTATTTCCCTGTGCTGCTGACTTCTTTCTACCTGCTGGGTGGTGCTCTGCTCTTGTCTCCACCTGCCCATTAGCCTCCTTTAATTCCACCTGGATTGATCATCAGCTCTCTTGTTTGAGCTAACTGGGGACTCCTGCACAAACACACTGTTTATAGGACCTTTGATGGCAAGCTTTTGACCACGTAGAAGTTTGAATAGAGAGAGTTCTTGATGTTCTTTTGGAGGACTGATGTGTTATATCCTATATGCACCAGACAAAAAAGCTTTAAGTATAAGGATGCAGTCAACTTTCCACATGATCACTCCTAATTTAACACACACACAGAGTAAACTTCTTCAAACGTTTAAGAAGTCTGCAGGCAACTTTGTTCTCTTCAGGGTTATTATGAGATTATGAGATCCTGTGTTGGAGATTTATATTGGTTTAGCGTAACATTTCTTACACTCTGAAGCTGACCTCACATCCCATCCAGCCCCTCAGAGTGCAGACACAAGCACTTCTGGGTGAGAATAAATTTGCAATGGGTGAAAAAGGCAGCGGGCAGAATTCCTTCCCCTTGTTTTGTTTGTACTTATCAAAGCAGGAGCCTCTCCCTTCATCCTCTTATTTCCCTCTAATTGAGTAAGTATAGAAGCTATGTTTTTACTTTTTTTTTAAAAAAAAAAAAAAAAAACAACTTATAAAATTGAGCAAAACTGTCATCTGCGTCCCTTCAGGGCTTATATGTCTGAAAATCTAAGGGTATGTGCTTTGCTCATAGTAGAGAGATTATCAATACTGATACTAATGTAACCCCATCATGATGCTACTGTTTTGCTTTTCTGTTGTCAAAAAGACATAGATAAAATGGTAGGGTATTTATACAGTATTACTGCATCTCCAGCAATTACAATTCCTTAGGATGTTCTGTCTTTCACTGTTCAACTGCTTTTTCTTTTGTTTATGTTCCCTTTTGTATCTTCCTAAACCTCTCAGCCTTTAGCAATGTAAGGAGTTATGGAGTGTCACAAGGGAGACTGAATACTTTTTGTTCCTAGCGGCAAATGAGTTGATATCCAAGGCAGACAGACTCTTCCGATTAATTGCAGAGTTGTATTTTAAAGGATGGAGACGAATCTGTCCCTGGTGCATGCTGACTTTAGTTAATCAGTTTGTTAATTTGAGGGTGTGTTTTGGAGCATAGGGATTTAGGGAAAAAAAAGGGTTCTGATTCCACTTGCACCATTTGAAAATCCAGGGATCTCTAGAGTTCTCGATTACTTTTTTCCTGTAATGCCAATACAAAAATAATATCCAAAACTTGCTGAGAAACTACGTATTCATCTTGCTCAATGTGACATCAGCTGTCTTATGTTTTTATATCAGGTAAGGTACTGCAAATATGTACTAATTCTCTTCTCTGCTTGGTTTCAGATTTATGCAACATAAAGTATCTTACCAAAACTGAGGGACCAGGTGTGCCTTAATGACAGCAGATTGATAGCAGGTGCTGCCCCACACACCTTAAATAGTAAAAAGGCTCACTGGAGTTGTGACTGGGAAGAGAGCTATGAGTCCACCTCAGAAGCAGAGAGGTGCAGATAATGACTCACCTTCCAGAACTGGAGAGAGACAGAACATTGTGGGATCTAAGGTAAGAGCAAAGACACGTCTAACAGAGGGTTAGGTGTGTGTTCTGCTTGGGAAAGTTAAGGAGGTATATCTGCTGTGTGGGCTTTTGCTGTTTATGTCTAGGACGAGGAAGCTGTTCCATGGCTGTGTGATACCAGTCTTGAGGGAACTGGTGTCTGGCTACAGGTATCTCATGAAGAAGGGACATGGTGGTTGAGTCTTAAGGGTACCTTTTGGAATGGATTAGGATTACAGGTAGGTTATGTCAAGAATTTAGAGGAACACAAGAAAAGCGAATGGTTGTAGAGGTGCCCCAGACATGAAATCTCATCTAGCTTTTAGAGTGGGTTGTGCATTTCAATTTACTGCTAAATTACGCTAGCTAAAGCCCTGTTCTTACCAGGTGATCTGAATGATGGCTTCTGTTTGCTTATCTGTGATGGTGTGCTGTTTTTTGGCAGGGATAAAGTTAACTTTCTTAATATATTGTATGGTGCTATGTTTTGGATTTGTGATGAAAACAATGTCGATAACACACCAGTGTTTTAGTTGCTACTGAGCAGTGCTTACACAGCATCATGGTATTTCCTTACACTGCTCTGTCATCAAGGAGGTTGGGGTAGGTGCAGAAGAAGCTGGGAGGTGATGCCACCAGGACAGCTTCCCCTCACTGACCAGAGGGGTGTCCCATACTGTATGACTTTGTGCTCAACAATGAATACAGGGGGAAGGTTGCCAGGCCTGCCATGGCTTGGGGACCAGTCAGCTGGTGGTACACAATTGCATTGTACGTGACTTGTTGACTTGTTTTTTCTTTCTTTGTTTCCAACTGTTTTTTTTTTTTTTTTTTTTTTTTTTAATTTACAAAATCTCAATGCATGATTTTTCTAAATTTTGCCTATTGATTGTCTTCCTTTATCCCATTGGTTGGAGTGAGTCAGTAGCTGTGTGGGGCTTGGCTGCCCACTGATTTTAATCCATAACAGGTGTTCTCCAGAGAATTATATCATTGTGGCTTATGCAATTTATTAGCTTATTTTGCTCTTAAATGTCTGCATTTTCATTGCTGTGGGTCTAAATTATGTTTCTTGCTTTCTGCTATCCCCTAAAACTCTTCATTTAAGTTCAAGTGTGGAAAATCCCAAATACTTGAATTGTGTATTAGACTTCAGAGGGGTCGGATGTACTTAATGTTTGCCCTTCACTCTTTTGACTTGTTTAAAGATCTCCAGTAGGAGCCATAAGTGGTTGCATGGTGCACTGAGTAGTCAGCCTTCCCCTCTGGGAACAGATATGGGAGGGAAAACTTAAAGCAGAAGAAGCTGACAGAGAACAAAGCTACCTGACAGCTCTGAGGGATGTTCTGGATTTAGCTGCTGAGAGTTTTAGGTGTTTGGCTCTGCTGAGAACTGTGTGTAGCTAGCAAACTCCATCTGTGCTGCACAACTACCAGGGGCCTGTGCAGGTAATGCCCATGCATTAGGGTTACTGACGAGTCTTCCTGTAGAAACAGCAGGCTGGAACTGAGCCAAATGCAGATCCAGAAAATTTGTAGAAGCTGTGGAAAGATGGTTTGAAAAGTGATAACATGTTTAAGTATCTAATGCGTTATTTAATCTATAGTTGCAATCTTCTGTACATAGGCACTTTCTAGCTGTTCTGTACATGAGAACATAGCTTGTTCTGATAATACATCAATTTATATAATAAAATTAGCAACTAGAACCCTGCTGTTAATATTCTAGATAACATATGCATGCCATGTTTTGTTTTTCACTTATGTGTTAAGATGGCGGTTGTCTTATTATTTTCCATATATGTTTACAGAAATTTAAATCAGAGAATTAAATATCAAATCTATTTATTTGCCTCTTTCACTAACATAATTGTTTATTATATTAATTTTTATTAGTATCGCATTATTAAAAATGAATTGCTGAGTTCTTGTAGGTGAATCTGAGATTTTAAAGGTTGGTGCCTTGAAATACAGTTAAATTTACTTTCTTATGGTTGTTGCTTTCTCTGAGTGCTCTGGTATTGTGTGTCTTCTGTATTTAAACAAATCTGTCACTGAACCATGAAATTTGTATTAGACATAAAAGCATAGATATTGATATGTTATGCTAATGCTGTCCCACTTAGTTAATCAATGGTTTGATTTAATATCGACAGTTATCATGTATGTTATAAAAGGAATATACAATAGCTATTTTTTGTTGTTGATATACATAGAATAGAATCTAAATTATAAATTGAAATCTTCGTAGGTGTGAAATCTAGATTTGAACAAAAAGCAAGGGGATTCCAAATCCAAAGTGATTTGGAAAAAAAAAAAAGCTTATGACTAATGAAAGCCTGTGAGACTTCCCTACCTCCTAAGCCCCCAGAAATGAACAATGAAGGGGAAACCTAGTCAGTAGCCAAAATACTGCTTCTTATGGGCTTCAAGGGAAAGCATGCATAGTATCTCTAATTCCTGTAAATTTCCACAGCAGGGAATTAATGTCTGAAGGTATATATAGATTTCTCTCTACTGTGTTCAGAGCAGTATTTTAGGATGTGCACATCAGTGAACTGGTTTTCTTTGCCCTCGCTTATTTTTTTCCCCTGTCCTTCTGCTTGTAGTGGGAGAATGGCATATGCAGTGAGGTACTTCTTGTGCAGTAGGTGTGTGAACACAGATGGAACTGAGAAGTTTAACATGTGAGAAGCTCCTCAGTCATATTGCTCTGTTTCATCAACACTTCTGCACATTGGTACTCATTTCTTAACTTTCTGCAGTAAAAAAGAGGCAGTGGTAGGCAAACATCTCTGGAGGTTCAAACTCTTATTCAAGTATGGAAAAACAGATCCTACAAATTTTCAAATCCCCTATTTATCAACTTTATTCAGTCCTGAAAATATTGCAGACATATTGCATGCTGGGCAGTCAGAATGCTTCTGTGTTGTAGACCCAGTGATATAATAACTGTTTCAAAACATGGTTTCATTTTAAGTGTAGAAGATGGGCTGTGTAATATCAATGAATACGCTATATAATACCCTAATGAAGGGGGAGAAGGGGAAGGAAGTGACCTGTCAGTAACTTTTTTTTTTTATGAGCATGCAGAGACCAAATAAAGGAATCATTATATTTCACCACAACTGCTCTGGTATTTGTGACTCATATGCAGTGTCTGAGGGTGAATTTCAGCATCTCTGAACTTCTCTTTTCAGGAGAATTTTTAGTGTAGCTGGATTGTCTGTACCCTGACTCCACTCCTTTCTCCTCATGCTTCTTAAAATCTGCTTTGTAATTGACTTTCTCTGTCAGGTTGAACAGCACAAACGCTGAAAGTCGTAGGATATAGATTCCAGTAGGATATCTTGGCTGCACAGTCATGGTTGAAAAACCTGACTGAGCTGTAGAAGGAAAACCACATAATAAATCATCACTAAAGGAAGAGGCTATGCTTCATTGCAGCTGTATGTACTTAATGGTGGATCACTGTTTGGAGCCACAGAAAATCTTGTACATCCTGTGAAGGCATGCAAACTCATCAGGGTGCTTGGGAGAGGAGCTTCCATTTGTGATCTAGCAAGCAGTTAACTTCTTGAAGACGGTAGCTGGGGGTACCTAGAAACATCTAAGGTTACTACTGTTTCAGATTAGCATCTCTGCTAGGGGTGTCCACAAGTACTGTACTGAGCAACATCACCTTTCTTTATTGCTTGCTCTATGCAGAGTGTGGCACTAAAGAGTTCATACATTCCAGAAAACGAGATAACTCGTCCAGAAAAGTGTGGCTTTCTGACTTCCATGAGATCCTTGTTATGAGCATGATGTAGAAGCACGGAAGTTAGGACATCAGCTGTGGAAAGTGCAGTCCTCCCTTTCCCCAAGGCAGTTTTTTCATATTCGTATTACTGTTTGCCACAGCTGGTGGTATTTGGAAAAGTTGAGTTCAAGTCTTTAAACCATTTTGGCACGGGAGTGAAAAAGGATTTTTCCTCTCCCTTGTTAGAGAACTTGTACAACTATTGTAACTGCATGTCTGTCTAGACCCCTGTGTCTTGAAGCACAATATTGGAAGGCTGTGGAAGAAGAAATTTCTTTCCTTTCTTCAGCAAGGAAAAGGTGTGTCGTGTGGCAAGACATTCTGTTTGCTTATTACCTAGCTTGCTGAATTCTGGAAGTGGTTTTTCCCTCTGTGCTTGTGGAGGTTTCCTGGAGCAAGCATGCTCACTTCCTAGCAGCTTGTGCACAAGTACGTACTGTTTTTAATTGGTCTTTGGCTTGGAAGCATGAGTGTGAGGAGCTGGAGCAGCAAGGTGAAGGTGGAATTGCAACGAGTGCTGTGCAAGTCACTGTAGTTATTGGAATGGCTTCACAGCATCCATACATGCAGCCGTTCTCTGAAGAAGCCCCTCTTAACATAAAGTACTTAAAGCTGGATTACAGAATGCCCTGTCTCTTTTCTCCAGTTAAACTTAAATTAAAAATGATCTCTGAAAGTTTTAGTTGCCCTTCATTAAATCTGTCTTGATATTTTACATGCATCTGTTTTTTTCCCTATATATTTAACCTCAATAAGTTTGCCTTCTAGAACAAGTGATGATAGTCTTCCCTTTTCATTATTATTCCTGAGAAGAAACTGTATACAGAAAGGGAAGCCATTTATGTTCAGGCTTGCTCTATTCAAGAAAGCTATGAAGAGAGCTATGAACATCCCATTGTGATCTGTGATTACTATTATTTTTTCTATTATTTTTCTTCAGAAGGAGAAGCTTAAATGTTTTTGTTTGGTTGGTTTTTGTCTATTTACTCTTCCCACTGCTTTCTCCAGTAGCCATTGCTGTTATGTTGGGGAGGAAGGGATCCTGATGTGATGTTTCAGCTGCTGTGGGGACTTTTTTGAATCCTGTTTGTTGCTTGCTAAATATACATGAGATCCCTAGTGTGTTTACATGAAGGTACTGTGTCCATGCTAGGTCATAGTTTACCTATAGGTAGCTATGATGACTGACTCATCCAGCTTTGGCGAGAAGGTTACCAAATGAATATGCAAGCAAAAATTGACTTATATTACCCTTAAGGATCATCAAGTCCAACTCTTGACACCGCACAGGTCTACCCAAAAGTTCAGACCATGTGACTAAGTGCACAGTCCAATCTCTTCTTAAATTCAGACAGGCTCGGTGCAGTGACCACTTCCCTGGGGAGCCTGTTCCAGTGTGCAACCACTCTCTCTGTGAAGAACCCCTTCCTGATGTCC